AAGTAACATTGATATGCAAGAATAAAACTTATAATGGTTCCAAATAGTGGATATGCTGCCATTTTTTTATAATTTACGTTGGATTGCTAGCAATATTTATCTTTCATCATGTCTACTGTATTAGTTCATAAGGAATATAACTTTTTAAGTATACTAATTACTGATCTAGATAAAGTATGGGCATCAGTAGCTAGGAAATTGCATCACTTTGTAATATATCATCGTAAGAAATTGTTAATATTAGCTAAAATTTTATATATAACATGATTATCGGTGTAATCTTCAAATCATGATATCAATATTGATTAAATGATAGTATAGAACTGGTAATTTATTAGCATTTAGTATACAGAATAGTTTGAAACTGTGATACAATGCGGTATTAATGTCGCACTAAAATCAATTTAAGCTTCAGTAGCCTTATTTTATTTTTCTTACAATAAAGTTAATTTGGTAAGAGGAAGAAACACACCATCAGGAATTGACGATATTTTGTTGGAGGATAAATACCTGGAAAATGATCCAGTTTGAGTACACATAGTTTACATAATGTAATGAGTAATTCTATATGTGATAGTTGAGATCTAAATTTCTTAGGGTAGTTCTCTTTTGCTGCATTAGTTGTACTTTTCAACAGTGCAAATAATAAAGTTTAAATCGATTATTTCTAAAGTAAACAATGAGCAATTATCATATTAACTTAAGTAAGTAAACAGTTTGATTTTGTTAGCATCAAGTTATTTAGTGCTTGATTACCACGTTAAAATGCTTAGAAAAAGAACGATAACATTCAAAGAATAAAATATTCTGCTTGTACTGCATCACTATGTAGTAATATTAATGCTCATAAACTTATTGATAGATTAATATATCTTTATTTTCAATCTATCACTAGATTACATAATAAGATGTATTCACGATTGAGAAAATAATAATCCGTCAGATCAAAGTTATAGTAAAATGAAATACTATTAATCAAACAAGTAAAAAGAATGATATAATATGGGAGCACATTTTTAAGTTTAAAAATTTTGACGAGTAACGATTCTTTCTCTTAATCTTAATTATACGCAAAGCTTACAATGTTCGTAAATTTACTAATCCTTGGAATGCTCCGGGATTTAAAGTTTGCAATAGATTTCCATGTAAGTTTCTGTATTAATTATGACGTAAATCAAATGAGTAAAATAGACTAATTATCCTCGTCCATTTCAGATATCACACAATTTCATATTAAAAATGCAGTTTAAAGTCATAATGTATAATAGAGTATAAAAATTGCGTCATATTTATTAGGTTTACTTACAAATAACGTATCTTAGACGATTTTTCAAAAGCCTTGTCATCAATAAATTCTATTTTATTCACCTGTAAATATCTATTAAGGAATGTCTTATGATTAGTTTTTTGCTTTTATATTGTGTTATTCTTCGTTGCAAATAATTTATGCGGCGAACTCTATAATCAGTAGATGAATATGTAAAGTTCCACATAAGTTTGACTTACAGCCAAGTTACGGATGGAAACTTTTGGAATGCATTTTTATGAATCCGGCGAATCAGGGTATAATAAATATTGCTATTCGAAAAATTTAGTTTTCATCGTATTTAATGTCATGTATCTGAACTTATCACTTTGAAAGCGAATTTATTGGAGATTCAGTGCATTTGCTAAAAGATTTCGAAATTCACGAGTAGCTAAAGGATAAGAGGTGTTTACTGTAAAGTACAACTTTTGTTGAAATAAATCATTATTAAAAGACTGAAAACCTTTATTATAGTAACCTACATGGTTGTAACTCTAGATCTGAATGGATGCAAAAGTGGAACTTCAGTCAAAGTTGGCAAAGAACACACAAATCTCGATCTCGAAAAGCAAGAGCAACCCGGAGAACATACCAGGAAAAAAAAGCCTATTGAGTGTAAAAAAAGCGATTTCTTTTATCAATAAAGTATTTTACGTAACAATGTTCGTATCATATTATCAGGGATTGAATACATATTTCATCACTGCTATCGTGTTTGGCATTTATACATGTATGACTATATAAATATTTACTCTTGACAGCTTTTTCTCTCAATCGTATAATTATTGCTTTTCATATAATCTCTACTAGCACAAATCTGATCATTTGTAGGCTTCTAAAGATATTTTATAAAATAATCGATTACGAATTCTATCATCATAGCATTTAAGGTCCATCGTTGTAATATGGTACTTCTAAAGTTATCGTAAAAAAATTTCTTAATTGAAAATTTCAATTTATGTATAATGTCTAATTAATTTGCTAGCATTTGCGTATCTTCGAAATGTCTTTTTAAATACTTAGTTTGAGAGTCCGTCTCGAAGGATTCATTTTATCTAAGTTGCAAACTGTAACACCCATTTTTTAGACAGCATAAGATCATTAAAATATTCTTATATTCACTGGTTGAGCCTAGCTGAGCCTACATTAACCATTTTACTTCTGCCACAGATTCAGTATGATATAAATAGCATAGCAAATAGCAGGAAACGATTCGATTTCTTAATGATTTTATAAGGACACAATATACAATCTCAAGTAGTAGGATACGTAGTGATTAATAGCTTTTTGGTATAAAATTACTGATAAAACATCAAATGAATAATATACTTTCTTACCAGCTGCTTGAAAAGTTGTATATTGGCTTATAATACACCACAGTAATAGATAAACTAATTTTATCTTCATACTTGCGAATAATTTGTATTAGTCCAAAATGCACAACTTGATATCATAAGCGTAGTCTCGAATCTCTAATTGGTATTAGATTATAGACTTTTCTACCCTAATTTTTTCTGATAAAAATTGAAGAGGAAAGTAGATAACGTAATGAAACTATGCATAGCTATGAACAACTTTATTTTACTAGCACCTGAAGGCGGTTATCAACTGTTATTATTTTTAATTGTATGCGTTAATTTTTGCCCAGCACTTCGTTACATGCATAATAGCTGTTGATATTTTTTGCAAACAATGTTATTTTAATTTTGCAATTATGCTTACTTGTGGAACTATTCTATTGAAGTTCCAAGTTCAAAATTTGGAGTAACTTAATATTTAAAAATTAAATTTACCAATTAATGCAATTGTGTTATAATTACTGTCAATCTGAGACCATATGTACTTCAAATGACTCAATGGTGCATCATCAATCTATTGTAATAAACATCCAGTACTATTGCTGTATGTCTTAATCAGCTTGTAGCAAGGTTATCGGTACCTAAGTCTAAAATAGAAGACGAAATACATGACACGCAGCGTTTAGGCACGATACTCTCTCTCAACGACCAGTCTATCATAAGTTAAGCTGTTTTATAGAAGATCTAGGAAAAACTGCAGTATGAGCTTAATTTGTTTGTAATCATGCTAACCAGATCAGTATAACATGACTCGGAAAGCGGTAGTTGAATACAGATACTACCGTAGTCTTTCCTAGGATTAAATCTAGAACTTCCCTTCTTGTAGAAAGTAGCTCACTTTTATACCTTCTATTTATTCGCGTGCGACTACAGCATTGTACGTATACACATATACGGCTAAGCTTACAGTATACTAATAAATAATGTTAGCTGCCGTTATTCTTAGATCTAAAATTAGTATAAATTTATCTTATAATTTAAACTACTGCATGTTAGAGTACGAATATAACATGAGATTAATCATGATCAGAATACGATCAGACCTTTAGCTTTCTTATAAATTAAGCAACTAATTCACTTGCTCTTTTAAACCAGGTGAATTAGTTTTATAATTCTGGATATACAAACAACTTACAGCATATGTGTAATACTATTCCTCGCTATGGTACGAGTACCGTGACAATCTTTATACCTCAAAACTGAGAGTGTTGTTTTGCAATGAAGAAATGCTTATGAAATCTGCTAAATACTAAATAATATATATTCTATTGCACAGAGAAGTCTATAAAATTTTATAAATCTTTCATTAGCATTCAATATAGCTAATCTGCGTCAGCATGCGTCATTGGTCTTCTAATCTAGAAGATATGTAGTATGCTGTAGCCGTTCTAAGAATACGTTGCTGTATTTACCAATGTTATGATTGTGCAATATTTATGCAACCAAAGTTAAATTACTATATACCAAAGCTGGTAAGCTACTTCATTGCAGACAGGAAATGATAGCAAGGGGTTAATTAATGGATCAGTTTGTATATCTTCCTTCGGTTTAAGACAGTCATCTAATCTAGATCAAAGGAACAATTTCTTGATGACTTTCCTAATCTGCTCTTTATTAATAGCCTTAAAACAAGAAACTTTATCAAAATATCTTTCTTCTTTTCATAATATGTGAAATATAAATACAAATAAATGCTATGCAATGTAAAATGGCAGCCTCCGTAGAACAAAATTCACGAATAATTATCGATACTTTCATTTTTAAAGAACGTTCAATTTTCACTAAGTAATATACCGCAGATCGTATAAAATAGGTATTCATCGAATGGTGTATTAAGGTATTTAGACTTACGAATTGACGAATAATTTAGCATTTGAAAAGCTTCTAGACGATTATCGTCAAGTCCTGTAATACTATATCTAATAAATACGCTAAATAGTATGATGTCTACGTAATAGTATTGATTCAGATCTTGCAAGATTGGTTATTTCTAATACCGAAGGAGATGTCTTACTAAAATTTGGATTAATATAACCTACTATGGGTTCTAGTTGTTGATTACAGCGGGGATACAATCCATTATAGCTATTGATATTGTCCTTTCTACCTAAGTATCTTCCCATAGCGACCTCTTGACTATCGCCATTTTGATGTATGAAATGGTTGGACTTTTCATCACCTGATGAACTTGCGGCTTGTAGACTTGGTGGAGCGCTTGACCTACGCTGAAGACATGCTGGAGGTCCATCAGCAAATACACGAGCATGACGCATTGGAACATGAAAGCTTCGTGAAAATGATGATTTACGTATATCAATCAAGTGAAATAGCCGATGAAAACATGCTGTTCCAGTCGCTGTATAGATATACGGATTAATTGCCGAATTCAGAGGTAATGCTAAGATTACAGCAAATTGTAATATGAAAACACTCAAACTACCTTGTGTTAAAGCTAGTACGGAGATAATATATACTGGCAGCCATGCAAGCAAATCCGTAATTAGAATTAAAGACAACCTTACGGCAATAGCAAAATCGTGCGATTGAGCGCTACTACGAATTGAGCGACTCGATTTACGGACTTTTAACATTAATTTAATATATAGAATTAATGTAATAATCCAAAAAATAAATTGGATTACAACGAAAAATATTGTCCAACTAGCGAAAAATCCATTACTCAGATTACTTGGCGTACAAACTGAGCTGAATTGATATAGTCGTAAATCACCAGGCTGGTTGATACTCATGGTGACAGGAATACCAACGAATAGACATGTTAATGACCATGCCGATATTAACGTTACTTTGCAACGCTTTACTCGTACGCTTTTGGATGAAAATGGATATGCAGTGACGATATAACGATCAATGCTAATTAATAGCATCATAATGACCGACATTAAGCCAGAGGTGCATATTAGAAATGAGGCAATAATACAGGCAGGGCTAGTTAACCATTCCTCTGAGTAGTTTGCATAACGATCAATATAGACTTGGTCACCAATTGCAATGATAAATAAATAAATCGACATCAAGAAATCAGCTACTGCCAAATTATCGATTAAAAGAATAGTTACTTTGCCCAGCTTATTTTGGCGATTACTGTGATTACTTATTACGACAAAAATATTGCCGACAAATGCTGCTATGCCCATAATCCATACGGATAATTTTAAGGACATGTGAGCCAGAATATTTTCACAGCTTGTGACTGAATCTAAGTCAGGTACCGGTGCGCAAGTAGTTACTTTCGCTGGGACTATACAGCATAAATAATCTCGTGTAGATATTCTAGTAGACAATCACGGAAACCAATCACAGAAGAGGATCAATAATGAAAAATGGGTATAACTTGATTAGTTTTAGCAATAACTTATGGCAAATTTATGTCTACCTTTTAGCTACATGGCACAGTATCAGATAGTTAAAAAATAGGCATTGTTTTATAGTATTTGATTACGAATGTAACTGTACTATACCACAAGAACTTTATCATTATAGGGGAAATAGACTTTTAAGGGAATTGAAAGTATAGTACTGCAATTAAGATACGATACTTCTATTACTAGTATTTTAGCCTAATGATATATATATATATATACTTACACAGTATTGAGCGAAGTTGAGCCATAAAAAGAGTTATCACGAATGTAAACTAACGGATTTGATTTTATTGACCTAGATAGAAAACATAGAAATAGTAATTTCGGCTTAGCTGCGGAAGATTAGCACGATAAAAAGTAAGAAATATACTGTGAGTGCAAAATCAGTATTTCAAGTAAATAAAGTATGTAATTTCCGTTCTAAAAATTACAGTACACGATGCTCTCTGTAAGAAAATCTTAGCGCTTACAATAGCTGCAATTTGAATAATAAACCAAAGCATCGGATATCAAGGTAGCGAATGCCATTTTGGTCCAAATAACTATCACATATAAATAAGTAAGTTCAGCATGGAATAGACCATTCTAAGTTTACTGCATACTGAAATATAATAGAAGTTTACATCTCTAATAGGTTTGGTCCAATTCCTAATACATGGGACTTGCCGCAGACTTCTGATAATTTATTTCGAGCTACATTTCTGTTTAAAAATTTTTTACAACATCAATCGGAGAGTTTAGTGTCCTAAATCTTAAGTTTAAAGCTTTACTGTCACGCATAAAAATGCTAATTTATTGCATTAAAAGATGCTAATAACCACATAGATCGTTGGATTTATACTATCTCCTTTTGGAATAATTTATTAATTAATATTTATTCTTCATAGTCACGTACAGTATCTTTAGTCCATTAAATTGGATGTTATTCGGATTCTTAAATTCATTGAGTTGATTATCAGCGAGATGCCTATATTTAATAAAAATAAAAATAAATGAGGGCCACGTATATTTAAATTTTGATTGCTATAAGGCCTTCTTCGTCCATTACATTAGGTAGCTAAATATCTATCGCACTTCCACGCTATCGACTTACAGTTCCTGCAAGTTATTATCAGTATCTCGGAATATTTCTGACGCATTAACCGTGACTAACTTATTTTTATTTAATTTCCTATTTGAAAATTCAAATAGAAATATTTTGTCATTAAATCTCTTCAGTTAACAAAGTTATGAAAAATTTAATGATATTAAAGATAAAAAAGTTAATTACAATATTTTTAGGAAGCCATTTAAGTGAACAAAGATGCCAGGCGGAATTTTTTTTAAATTACTGTAGCTCAAGTCTCTATTTTTGAATACCGTAACAAATACTATGTATTAGTATTAGAATTTTTAACAAACATGTTTAGAAATACGGTATTAGCCCTGCTTATGCTATTAACAAAATAGGAAATTTTAAATGGATAATAAACCATAACATTTATAATAGAAAAATACTTACATAGAATAATCGAAACATTTAATTAATGTTGCATAGATTGGTGAAAAACATAACGTTGTTATGTAAAGTCCCCTGATTGATTGTTTAATGTTCGCAATAGACATATTATTTCTCCCGATTGAACTAATTATTACAATAAATGTAGATAGAATGATGTTTAGAAACTCCATGACGTCAAATTTGTTAATTTTTATTTACTAAATATCCTCAAATGCTGATCAGCATCGTATTACACCCATTTAGTAGTATTCATGCTTGTTACTAACAATGATCTTAGGTATATATTCCATTTAAAATAAACTTGCGGAATAGATTCAATATTATTTCCAGCTAATAACCTGGGATAATAAGATATCATGATAGAACTTATAGGTTATTACCAACTTAAGCAAATTGAGAACGAAGTTATCTAATAGTAACTAATTCCTCTTAAATGAAATCAACATGTGCATCTAATTTGTGACTTGCGGTGGCATTTCACTTACAGCTCAAAAGGTAACCCCAGCAATTTAATTAGTATATCTTGATACAAGTCTATTCCATTTTGTACCAGGTTATTGGAGCTCAAATCTCTAGAATAGTGAATGATATGAATCGATGTTCTATGTAGCTCTCAATTAGTTCTACTTGCTTCGCAATATCTAAAATTCACAAATATTTATAAGAGCTAATATTTTATTTACAGTCTTTGCGTGAGACCATTTAATGTCCTGTCGCAGTTATTTGAAATCCCCGAAATGTTATTATTGGAAAGGCGTCTTACGAAAGCAAGAAAGATTAAAATATGAATTAATTTCGTTTAAACTAATCTGTACCATAAGTTGGTATAACATACAAACATATGCTTATTATTTGAATTTTAGCCAAAATTTAATTCTTTATAGTGAACTTTTGAAGCGCAATATATTATCAGATCGTATGGCTGCAATAAGTAAACATATAATAGCGCATTTGCTGAAGAATTTAAATTATGAATTCCATCAAATCTAGTTGTTCAAAAAATTTACTAAAAAGCAGAGTTCAGCATGATCTATTATTATAAATATTGAATAAAAATCAAATCCAAGAAAAAAGCTAAGTTTATCTACTTACAAGTCTCGGACAGTTTTATAAATGGAACTACAAGACAAGTTGGCTAGTCTGTTTTGATTCATTGACCTAAAATTGAAAGATCCTATCGGTTTAAAGCTAATCGAATAAAAGTACTGAGACACTGCAATTAAAATAATGGCAATAAGAACTTAATTTCTCTTTAGTATATTTCCGTTGACTTACAATGTTCTCAAGCTAATTAAATTAGTAAAACTATCATCAGCAATTTCTGCTATTAAATTATTATCCAGTGATCTGTAAGGTAACAGAGATGCGAAATATTAAATTCGAGTCATATGGAAGTCAAAATCGATTCCTAAAGCTTACTTTGTAAAATCAACTTACAACTTTGTAACAAGTGTTAAATTAAAGAAAGGTGCTCCGGCTAAAGAGACAATCTTATTTCCATTGCAATATCTAGCATCACAATTTTGGGTAACATTTAAATTAAAAGTGTTGAATTAATTTGAAAATTTTAAAGTAATACTGACAAGGTTGATAGTTGGCTTATGTCTTGGATTAAAAATCCATTTAGTGATACAAGTTTATTATAACTGATATCTCTAGAATGAATGTGGAATAGAGAGTTAAACATATAATTATATTATTGAGGTTAAATGATACTAGCGACAAAATAAGTCAACTTACAGCAACAGTAGTTTAGAGAGTCCCAAAAATGCTTGATTTTCAATAATCGAGATTTGATTATGATTGAGATATCTACGATGTTAAAGGTAGTGTACAGTAAACAAAAATAACTAAAGAAAATTAAAACAGGTTCTTTTACCAAATTTTTTGGTAATTGAACTACTGCAGTATTTTGAAGGCTTAATCCTGAATTTATTTCAAGACTTACAGATTTCGTAGTTCTTTACACTTTATAAACATGCCATCTCGAATAGCTTTTATTTTGTTATGGCTAATATCTCTAAAAAGTGTTCAAGTACGGTAAGAAATCATGTACAAAACAGTAATATAACTAACAATGCCAGCCTATTACAAGCAGACATAAATTTGAACTTAAATGCAATTTATAGTCTATCATCCTTACACATGTACAAGTTTCGTTAAGTTACCAAAATAGTTTCTTTTTAATTCTGACAAACGATTCCAAGAAGCAAATCTTACAGTTTAAATAAATAGATACAAAATTAATATTAAAATTTCACTGTAGCAGAAAGGTGTTTTGAAAATAGAATTTAATTAGCTGTATGATGGAAGACGCATTCTTATAATTTAATAGAAGGTCTCCAAGGAGATGAATATATATTTTTAGTAAATGGAATGATCAGAAATTAGTATGCACTTACAAATTTGTTAAAAAATGAAGTGGAATAATGAAATCTAAAGTGTTCAATTCGTTTTTATGAATATTTCTATCAAAACATAATCATAAAATCGTATTAAATTAGTTACTTGACATGTTGTTAATATAACTGTCTCTCATTTCTTCATTTATCTGCTGGGTAAAATAGTAAAATGAATTTTAATGTAATCGTATGAAACTGCTAAATAATAAGACAGTTGATATTTAGTTAGTGCAACAGCAGAAATTTGAAGCACTCTATCAAATATCGTGAAAAGTTTCAATTTTCTTATCTTTTATTTTATAACTCTGTAAAGTAATTACGTGAAAATTAGATGATAATTTGTAAAATATTTATAGGTTGATAACTCCAGAAATACGATGAGAACTTATCGCAAAGTAGAGCTATAACACAAGAACTTGAAATATTTTGAACGTGAATCAGTTTAAACTCAAAAGCTTGATACTGATTTACGAAAGCTCAATCAATATAATTAAACTTATGCTAACAATATCAAAATAAAATGACTGAAGAAGTAATTAGAATGTACTAATCATTCTACTATAGTTACAATACAAAATGTAGAGAATCTCTTAGCTAGCGTCGAATTGTAGCTTATTACTGATTGATATTCTAGAAATGCATCCTATGAAAGATTTATCAGATTCTTCTCCTTGATGCATGTTGTTATAGCAAATTCAAAACTTATTGTTTTACTTACAGCTCTTTTAGGTGTAATAGTGGAGCAAAGCTATCGGACTTTACATATCTTAATTGATTACTAGAAATATTCCTATCAATCAAGGCAATTCGATTAGATTGTTGATAATTGAAGCTAAAGAAATAATATAAAACTAAAAGTATTTCTATAT